TTGGATGAACTACTTTCCTCTTTACGAGACGTCAAATGCTACACAGAATGCACTTTCAAACGTAGAACCGAGAGAATGGATGCAACGAGTGATAGAAAAATGTGGAGGTGCAGCAAATTTTTGCAGCTTCGCACGCACCGAAGAGGACGAATACCTTCGTGATCGCATGCAATTCACCCAACACATACGAACCAAACACGAAGCCGCCCGAAAGCGTCTATACCAACTCTACAGGAGTTGAGGAAAACTGAATAAATAAATAAAATTTGCCTTCTCAAAAGTGAATTTTGAGGTTACCTGGTATATGCAGTGTGAATAGGCGTAAGAGAAGTAAACCTCAGTATTGCCACAACGCGGTTCAAAGATGACATCCACAAAGTGGGTCGCCAAGTTCCTGTACACCTCCGTCTGCAGGTCGAATGTCGCTGCGATTCTGGTACTAAATAAGTCGCTAATTAACACCTTTTGCCTTCTGAGCAAGCACTCTCACACCACCACAACACCACCTACTTAAATTGATGATGATAGACTTGGTGATCCCACGGCAGGGCAAAGATGATCAATCCAACGAGCTCCACCACACAACATACAACGATTCGGACAAAGAAGTCAGACATCGCCTCAAGTAAGGCATTCAGTGCTTTGACCATCGACGCATTCAATACTCACCTCCCAACAATGCATCCACACTCACACTTACTGGACTCGGGAGGACATGAACGTGGCTCAATGCGAATGATTGGGGCTGGCAGTGCAGCACCGAAATAAAAGTCGTCAAATGAGAGAGGTATGCGAAAGAAGGCTCCACCACTCCGATTTCGAGGTAGCGGCATAACACCCTGCTGCCCATTCCATCCCTCCTCCATTGTCGAGCGTCCATATTGTTGATCAAATCAAACATGAGCGAACCCTGCGCACCAATGCGAACCAGTCAATCGCCGCCTCCCAGAAGCGTCCCGCACTTATAATACCCCAACAGAAAGGATGATAACAATTCCTCCCAAATGCCACCTCTCAACCAACTACCCACCCTCCAGCACTAGAAACTGTCCACCGGAGAACGTCACCACTTCTTCA